ACCACTCATAGTTCCTAGCACTTTATTAGTTCAAGCAAATAGTCAGTATCCGAAGACATAGACCACATGTCATATCAGTATCATGAAAATACAACTAGTCACATGTACAACTTTTGGTTGTCTAATTAAATAGTTTGCCTGAAGCGTTAGTACTGTACTAAGGGTTTTATACTAGATGTCATATTTATAGTCATACTAGAAAGCTATCTATTTAAACCTTTTGGCTTTTACTGGTGCTACATATTTCCTCCTAATATGTCCCTTTTAACAGGAACAATTTACCATTTAAGACGCTAAGACTTTAGCCAACAACAAAAGATATTTATTCTTGTGGTAAATCTAACAGCATAGTACATGTCTTACACATATATTTAACTACATGTTCAGTAATTTCTTCCTAACTAGTACATGTTGTGTTGCTGCTAACGAGTTTGTATTTCAAGCCAACTTTTGGGGTGCTGCCGTAATCTGATCCGTATCTCAAATACCAACTTTCTAATTAGTTATCCATTACGTACTCTTGCTCTTACAAGGTTCACAACAACCCCAATACCCCAATTCAACTATCTTCTTACCTGGATTCTTAATCAGTCCCTCCCTTACTTCCAGCCAGCAACCTGGACAGGTTGGTCTGCTCAGGCTTTAGGTACCTAAAGAACACCCTCCTCTTGGTCTATACTTTCAAAATGTATGCTCTTTTTCTCCAGTGCATTTGCCTGGCGGTTTGGCTAGTGTGTTCTCTTACTAAAGAACCTGGTCGCTCAGTTCTCCAATTTTAGCCCCAGTTTGAATTTAGCCATTATGTAGTACCATCAAAGATCACTACTATTTTCAACTCAAGACTTCTCAAATAGGCTTTCTATACAGTAATAAACAGTTTCCCAGATTTACATAATCATGAACTTATCAAGTGTTTGTGCTGCCAAAGCCGGTTTGCATTCCTTTGTAGTTTCTGGGTTTTTCTAATTGTCAAATGCTAGTGAATCTTTCAGGATCACTCCCTGGTGCAACTTGAGTTACAGATCCTCAATTCAAAATCCAACTATCTTATACAGATTACTATACCACAGACCTATTTTTCAAAATTGTCGTCTGTGAGATTTGAACTCTAGACCTGCCACTTGGTGAAGGTAACAACTAGACCACTTCACTAAGCTGCCACACCTTAGTTATATTTAATTAAAATATTTATATAAAATATAATATAGTAATACTAATTTTAAAACACTAATAGAAATTAAAATATTTTATAGCTTGAAAATAATATATAAAATACCTAGTTAAAGTTTTAATATTTATAACTTATTAAAAAATATTGTTATCAAGATTTGCAAATAATATTGCATTAAAAAAAAAAGAGATTATATTTAAAATATAGGCTAAGTTGTAATAGTATTTAAAAAATAGCTTGAGATATAAACTTGGCAATAGCAGTATAGCATATACTTGTACATCAATTTAAAAATAACTATAAAGTTATGTCTATCTAATAACTATTTTTTTTTTTTTTTTTTATACTTCAGCTTAGTCTTGTCATGACTATCTATCTCTACTAACCACCCCTCTACAGGGGGGTGATCCCAAATCAAGTATTTCTACTATTATGAGTTCATTTGGAATAGGCCCAACCCTACCTGGTTGTCTATTCAAATATCTAGAACCGACCACTTGCACTGTCCTCCGGAGAGGTCAGATCACCTTATTATTGTACTAGACTTTCACTAGCCAATCCGGTGCCGCCACGAGTTCTTGTAGTATCTTTATCAGACTTGGCTTCACAGTATGTCTTGTGACTTTGGTTATTCCAAATCAGGGTTCTAACATGCCTTGCTTCTCATCTACAGCTTCTTGCGATAACTATTTTCTATTTATGTCCATCTATAGATGTCTCGGTTCCTGCATACCATGATGTTTTACTTCCATATTTGAGTTTTTGTAATTCCACCGCTGGGAGGAATTGAACTGGCAACTATCTGATTTGCAACCTGGGAGCATAACTGCTATGCTATCAACCCACAGGATCTAATAACTATATCATATTGGAAATATAATATTAAATATACAAATTCAGATGAATGTATAGAAATAGAGCTATGCATTACTCTAGTAGGTTTATATTATAGATAGTACTATATTTATCCAACATGTAGACCCATGCAATGTACCTTGTAATGATTTTGACAGCCAAATTTTGACTTATACCTGGGTACCTAAGTATAATATTATCATACTTCTGTACCCAAAAAAACATAATAAAACATATTCATATCCATACAATATATCCCTCTACATGTATACTCTGGGTACTAAAATAAACAAGGAAAATACTCCGGGTACTTGTGGCAGATAAATACAGTAAGTTAAAGTTCCCATACTTGTAAAAATATGCATATATAACCTCATCTTAACACCAAAAAATAACAACAATAATTACTAGTAGCAATAAATAGAAACTTCTAAAAAAATAATAATAAAATAAAAATTATAAATTTTTAAAAACTTAGTTAATAAAATAGGCTTTGTGCTGCAAAAAGGAAGCAAATCAACAAAACAAAAGATTTTCAGAAAATGTTATAAATTTTATAATAAATCTTACTATTTTAAGAAAATACAAACTTTTAGTTTTTAAGTAAAAAATGATTTTAATTTTATTTTAAATTATTTTATACAAAAAAACTAATTTGAAAATTTTGTCAATTTACCTCTTTTTGCAACACAAGGCCCAAATAATTCCAAGTTTTTATATATTTTTTTTTTATATTTAATTAAATTTTATTTTGTCAATATTTTTTTATTATACTTCTTAGTCTTTTATTTCACTTCTTTTAAATATTTAATTGAATCTCTTTTTCTACTTTTTATTACATTCATTTCTTATCATTCTTCATTATCTTCTTTTTTAATATCAAAAAGTTAAGCAATTACCATAGTGACTGCTATCTAACCCAGACAGTTTATTATAATTTATAATCTCGCTTGGCTCTAAAGACACATACTTTAATGATATACTCAATATTTACAATATGTATGTACTTGACAATTTATTTTTACCTGATTCTTTTCGGTCGAAAGACTATTGAATTCTTTATTTACTTTATTCTATTTATGTAATTCAACAATTACATATCTTGTATTACATATTAACTATTTTTTTGTTATTAATTAATTAGACTTTTTATTGTTTTCCAACTAATTTGTCATATACATACACTTGACAATCAAGATATTTATTGTACCCAATCTCAATTAATCTCTGACCCTTTATTATCAATATGACCCTGATCGATCATATAATCACATGAATCAATTGTTCTGTATTTTTTTACTTCTTCTATGCTTTTTAATTTACTAAACAATTTGTTGTCTATTTGCATATCTTTTACAAGATATACAGAGTTTTTGAAAACTACACAATATGAGCTGAACCTTTATTGATTCTCATTCTTGAGAGCAATATTATTTTCGCTCAAATATTCTTCAACTTGATTTGGAGATTCATTATTTCAGGTAAATAATTTCTTTACTCTATTTCTTGTTATAGGGTCTTTTAATTCACTTCCATCTAATTTACTTAAATATACTAGCTCATATTTTCCAATTATGCAAACTCTATAAAGTCCTATCTATTTATAATCTAGTTTTCAGGATGTAGTTTCTAATGTCGAGTTATAGACTAATACTAGATTTCCTTTTTGGTAAGTTTCTTTGACCTTTGTTTTCTTGTCATAGATTTCTTTTTATCTTTGCCTCATTTCATCCTTTTTAATTTGCACATTTCTTAAATCTTTCACTATTCCTTTAATTTGTATAGTCTGATATTCTTACAGTTTATCAGTTGTTTATTCTCTTCTTACAGTATAAGCTTGATAGCTTTCAACTATCAACTAGATAGAGGTTATAGCATTATGTCTGTAAACTAAATGAAACAGCAAGTACTCTAAATTATTCACAGTTATGCTTATAGCCCAAATGGCACTTCTCACATATTCATACCATTTGTTTTGCTTTTTTACACATATTTTGCAAATTATTCTTGTGAATTTCTGTACTGTATACTCCATATGTCAACAATACCAGGGCATAGAATCGATTTTCTGAACATGTGATTTACCAGACCGAAACAGCTACTCCAAATTACTAGCAGAATTTGACAGCCAATTAAAATTACCAAATTATATATAATATTAAAAATAATATTTAACATTAAATATATATACATGACAGTTTTTTCAAAGTTTTTTTTTATTAAGACAAAATTTTTAAATATATATAAGTTAAAATTATATAATATATATATAAATTTAATACATTATTTTGAAACTATTTATAATAATTTTTATATATTATTCTGAAACTATAACATAATGATTTTCTGTAATAATTTTTATTTATTAAATATCAGCACAAGAAATTATTACTCCTGATCATAGCCATGATCACTCATATTATAATTGCCATGGCTTTTCACCTTATAATATTACAAGGTAAATCTTCGATAAAAACCCATGAAATTAAAATTATAAATAATCAATCACTAACTCTAACCAAGTAAGATCTGCATTAAATTTTTGTCATGGGTTTCACTCTTTCATATTATAATTGTCATAGCTAGTATTATAGAGTTATAGTAAAATTAAGAGTGTGATTAAAGGTGGTTAATAAAAGAATTACTTTACAGAAACTTAAATATCTTAATATGTAGTAACTGCATAGTAACAATATAGTAATTACATAATTACTATTAAATTTAATTGTAACTACATAATTACTATATAGTTACTGTGTATTAAGAGATCAAAGTTTTTGTATAGTAGATATTAAGACAAAATATATTTAAAGCCTTGTTCATTAACATTAATAAAGCTTAATAAAATTTGAATTTTAAAACTTTCTCAATATTAAAAACTCAACTATATATTAAAATTTTTGTTACAAACCTCAAATAAATCTATAGATTTGTCACACATACTAACAATTAATCAGATCATATAAACTTCATGATGGGCGAATGCATCTTTTGTTATTATACCAACCTTCCTATTGAAGTGTTTGTATATGAAAACAAGACATATAAAACATGTGCTATATGTAAAGCTACTAGAGCTAAAAAGGCAAACACCAAAAAAAATACATTTGCTAATAATATTAATAGTGAGAAAACCTCTGTTAAAACAATTTCTATTGAAGAAATTAGCAATCATATTGCAGATTTGATTTCTAGTTTAGAACACAATGCAATACTTTCTTCTACATTATATATTAAACTTGATGAAACTATGCTATGTGCTGTTGGAACAGATGTCGAAGTAATGGCCAAACTAATTGTTGATGAAATTGAAGAAGGTGATAATTTTGGATGGATGTAAATAGTAGGGCTCTGCAAATACCAAGCATAATATTATTAAAACATAGTGTCTAACTACTCAGATACTATGTTTTAACAACACTATGCTTAGTACTTGCAGAATCCTAGTAAGTAGATGTAAAATTTTAATAAAAAATAGCTTTTTTTTTACTAAATATACACTTAAATTACAAAGCCACGACTGCACCAAATCTTTCAACTTGTTATCAAGGTGTCAGTAATGCATATTTTGCATGTTCTTAGAATGATGAGCTTAAATGTGAATATAAAAAGTCAAATTGTAAAAGAATCGATTGGTTTAATTGTTGTAGTAAGTTAAATATTAACATTGATATCCTAACTAAAGAGGCAAAAATGGTATTAATACATAAATTGATCTATAATGTGCCTGTTGATATTACAATAATACCAGAAATTAAACAAGAAATTATAGATAACTTAAATATAGATCCTATACATCTCCGAACACACTTTCACAAGAAATTTGATGTGTTCAAAATTACTTTAAAGCAAATTTATTACTAGTAGCTATACTTTGCTCAAAGTCTTTATAAATGTGCTGAAGACTATATTATTTCTGCATGCACACTTATTGAATAGCCTAAAAAGAATGATTTCAATTTGTGCTTTAGGCTAGAAAATATAAGTGTAATAGTGATTAGTTTTACAACTCCCTTGCTTTGCTTATTGCAAAATATAACAGAAGTGCATTGCGATACTACTTACAAAATTGTCAAGAGATATTTTGAACTTTATAGGCTTGTTGGAAATGTCGAAGGTTCAGGCTTCCCTTTAACTTATCTAGTTCTTGATACAATAAAGACAGGTAATAAAACTCATAAAAGGCTATGAACTGAGGCTCTTGAGGGTTTTTTTTCATGTCCTTTACAATAAAGGTTTGTATTCAATCTATTTTTATACTAATAAGAACTTTGCTAAAATAAATGCTACAAAAAATGCATGGCCAGTAAGTAGTATTTAGCTTTGTCTCTGGCATATTAAAAAAGCAATCAAAAAAATTATAAGTAAAAAAAACTATAGCGAACTAATTATCGATTTGAAGAAGTTTCAAACAAGTTCTCTTTCGTTGACCCTTATTTTAAGCCTAACTTGTAACATGAAGACAAAGAGTATTATGTTGTTTGCCTATCAAAACTTTATAAATATATAATCGGCCTTGTTAGAAAACATTTTAATATGTATCTCAAAATTCCAATTAATTCTAATAGCTTGTTTTTATTTTCTACTGAAATATGAAATATAGCAGTTCAAGAAGTATATGAATTCTGCAAGGAGAATAATCTTGTATTGCTTTGGGCATATCTGTGATGTGCTTGGTATATGCCTTTTCGCTAGTGTTTTTGGGCTTGTTCTATAGGAGAAACCATTCTACTTAGTAAAATGAATATAATGATTAAAGTACATTAGAAAGTTCTAAAACATATTTATTTTTACTAATTTAACTATTCATGACTTGATTATCTTATTTGGGTTATTTGCACTTGTGTGATACCTGATCAAATTATTTATCTTTAACAAAGTCTACTTGGTAGATCGGCTTCATTATAGTTTGAAGAGTTTAAGAATAAATGGAAAAGCCTTAATAAAAAAAAGATTAATATAGAGATTAAAAAATACTACTTTACCAATTTGGAATGCTAGATATGTAGCTGCCCACACTTTTTTTATAGCCACTTTCTTGTTTGTAAACATTTGATCTATATAGCTTCTGAAAAAGTAAAAGAATCAGTCACAAAATATTTAGTTAATTTTTTCTAATTTTAAACGACGAACAAATTATCCATTTTTAATTTAGAATAGAAATAAAGTACAAGACATATCTATGACTCTAATTCTGTCTAATTTAATATTACATCAAGCTAATTTTGAAGATAATTTTGTTGAAGAGATTGAAGATAAATACTGATGTTAAAGAAGTAGAAACTAAAATTGCTACCTTAAATCGTTTAGTTGAATATTTAAATATTAAAATAGCTGCAAATAATTTTAGACATGTTGAATCTGTTGCTAATAACTTAGATTGTGCTTATACAATAATTAATGATATAGAAACTTCCAAAAACAGATGACTTCGTGAGTCTACTTGGCAAGAATCAAAGTCTTGAACCTTATTTTTGCAATAAATAATTAAATAAAAAATAATAATAATATTATACTGTAATTAAAAAAGTCTTGCTTATACAATAATTAATTGTATAAAAACTTTAAAAAACAGACGGCTTCGTGAGTCTACTTGGCAAGGATCGAAGCCTTAAAACAATAAATCAAATGTTAAAATACTATTACTATCATAAACAATAATATAAAAATGTGTAACAAATAAAAAAACTTTTTTGCATAATATTTCAAAATCAAATCAGTCCGGAAATCACATGTTCAGAAAATTGATTCTACACCCTGTTAATTTGCCACATGTCTATTTGCTTTTGGATAATAACTTGCTACAAACCTTTGATTAATATTCAGATGTATAGCCAATTTGGCTAGTACATTATTTTTGAGTTCTGTTTTCTGTCTAAGACCATTACTAAAAAACACCTATGCTTTGTAATAACCTCATTCTAAATGAATTGGGCTATTGTATTGGTATTCTTTTTTCTTAAAGCCTTTCCTTCTACATATTTATTTAATTCTTCTACTGCCAATATGACATGCTCATATCCTCTACTTGTTTGTGGCAATAGTCCTAGACAGTCTATATACAATTTATAAAATATTCAACTCATTGTAATTACATGAATTAGTTCTTTCACTGACTTCACTATACATCTTTGATATTGCATGTATGACTTACATATTTCTTTGTATTATCAAACACACTTTCTGATGCCTAATAGCAATAATTCATTAGAATTTTTCATGCAGTTGTATTTATACCTCTATGTTCTTTATTATCAACTATTCCTTGATGATTTGTTTCCAAAATCTAATGTTTTTTATTATTGTTATAGAACGAATTAATTATTAGTTTATTATTTTATTTATTATTTATCAATTATTATTATCTTAGAATATTATTATTATCTTGTATTATTATTAACATGTCGCTCAGTC